TGAGGAGAAGTATGCTGCTCTTGCTTTACAAAGGGTCCTCTTATACAGCAGTAAACTATTTTTCCAGACTAGGTAGGATATTGTCTCTCCAGTTTACTAGCATTGATTTTGATTGTAATATGTCCCTGTTTTAGATTATGTCCCCTCATTGGATTTCAGAAATCTGGTCACCTTATCCCTACCTACCAGAAATAAAACTGTGAAAGCAACAAGTGCTCAGTAGAGAAGTGCAGCAGAAGGCGCTGTGTTTTAAAGTGCTTCTGCACAGTTAGAGTTACTGAGATACAGAGATATCACAGAAAAAAGATCTTAATTCAGACGGAGATACAGGGTCGCTGGAAGTACTTTTGAACAGGGGGTGCTGTAAACATTTTGGGTTTTTTTTATGGTTAAAAGACCTATGAGCCTATAGAACTATTAAAAATAGAATAAAAATGAAAAATGGCCAAAAATCGCACTTTGAGCCAAAACGGCTGACTTCCTGTGGGTTTTAGGGCATACCTCCAAGAGACTTCTTTTCATGATTTGAGGAGATCTACCTGTGTGCCAAATTTCTGATCTCTGGGACTTTCCCAGAGTTTCCCCCAACTCACGTTAGGGGGCGCTGTGGCGTAATTTGGGGGCGGCCATTTTGGATTCCATTATAGACCGGCTGTTTCACACGGGGGACAATTTACTGCCATGTTTTCCTGAGTTTTTCAAATATGCGAAGTCCCAGTAAAATGCGTTCAAAGTGCTACAAGAATCGTAATAATAAGAAGAAGAAGAAGAAGAAGAAGAAGAAACTTTCGAAATACAATAGGCCTTCGCAGCACTTTGCTGCTCGGGCCTAATAGATATGTAAATAGATAGAGATTCACTACTTTATTGTTATATACACGCAACCACGGTCTATAACACACAGACATCATTAGTTTTCAGGTGAATATCTGCGCTATTAATTCAACTTCACAATAACATTATAACAGCATATATTTGGTCAGCTGGCAGGAAACTGAGTCACTGTGTTTATGTCCAAAATCTTTTCAGGAAACCACAAGGACATAAATATATTAGTAAACAATTTAAACGTTATTGAACAGTTCTACACATCCATTACACAAAGAACCCAAGATCAAAATAACTCTCTAAAATACTATGGTTACATTAAGCTGTGCAAATAAATATGAAAGTGCATGGCATCACCATGGTCTTCCTCTGAGCTACAGGCAGGTTGCCATGGTTACAGGTGTCCAAATGTTCAGGTGCGCTCTGAGGTGGTGGAGATAAAGTCTCACATCAGCGGACAAACCTGAATGCGTTTCTCTGCCATATTTCCTCCTGGTTTCTGTCATTAGACCCTGTAAATCTACTAGCGTGTTTCCGTGAGCAGGATTCCTCTAGCTTGCTTGACATTACCATGACAACGTAATGGCCATGTCATTGTGTGAACTTGTGTTGATTAGGCCTCAAAATACTTAAATCAGAATACATGTATTAGTAAAATAAAAAAGTCAAAATCATTTCCCAAAATATTCATAAGGAATTTCTAAATTGTGCAAAGTATTATTAATACATTTTCTCCTTCTCACCACTAGAGGGTGCTGCAGCACCTCCAGCACTCAGAGTGTAATGTCTTAATTTTAAGTTCTTTAAATCAGAAATGATTCCATCCTGTTCAATAAATGATCAGTGTTTTTAATTCAGAGTAATTTTCATGTGAATGTGCTTTACTGGAGGCATCCATGTTTGTCAAAGAACACTACTGCCACCTACTGGTTAGTGACATTGTCACGGTGCGGTATCGGCTGTTGATCAAGTCCCAGTGCTGTATCTGGTGTTTGTCACAACGCGCTATTATCCAAGTCATCTTGAAAACATTGGCTACATATTATGAAAAAGAAAAAAAATGACATAATTTGGCTGTAAGGACAGATCATCCAAAATCCAGCAAACTGAGCCTGATTGTTAATTCTGGAGTTTTCTTCCTTTTCAAAGGGAGTTTTCCTCTCCACTGTGGTTGCATGCATGCCTGGTGTGAAGGATTGCTGAAGAGTCAATGACAGAAATGATACAGCCTCATCCTGTAAGTTAAAGCCTGGAAGCAATCAGCTGGTTTTTCTTAGATAGAAACTTAGAACCAATCTAGTTGAATCGTCTCTGAGATGATGATGGGTTGAATTGGCGCTATAATAATTGACTGAACTGAAGTAAATTATTGGGGCCCCTGATGCCCCTGTCTAAAGCCATCTATGTTTGATAATGAACTTTGACCTTTCTAACGTGCTGCTGATGTTCATCAGGTCTGCTTTTTAAACCCAGACATGTTTTCCTGATGATTTGCTGCAGTCTGACTGACAGTCTGAGCTGTCGTCACTCTACAGCCAACAGGAAGCTCTGAGCTAAGCTGCTCCGTTCCAAAGGTGCTGCTCAGTAGTTCTCCATGTTGTTAGGAGAACAGATTGACTGTTTGCTGGTGGAAAAGAGAGCTGCAGTGTTAGTAGGAACATCTCCATCTGCTCTCATATTCAGGGTGAGGAACCTGAGAATAAGCTCTGGATCTTCTGCTTGTTCTGTTCAGCAACAGGTCCATCCAATCTCCATCTGCCCACTTTGATCCCAACAAAGATCTAGAAGATCTAGAAGTCTGTTTTTTCCCTTCATCTGGAGCTGCTGTCAGGAGCGTCAGCGGGATCTCTGGAAGCTCCTCTCACTCAGGTTCCTTATTGTTCTCCAAGCAGACAGAACCTCTTCCTCCTCCAATCAGAGCAGCGCTGCCTGGACTCCATGGTGACAGGAGGCTGAGCTGGTTGCCATGGCGACCACTAACATGGAGCGAAGCTAACAGGCAGCTATGCTAAGTTGAAGAGGAGCTGGTTCTGACTGTCAGAGTGGACCTCAGGTGGCCTGGAGCTGCGTGGGAAAGTGTCCCTCTGCCAGCTGAGAGCATCAGGAGCTGCAGCTCCAGAGGAAAGGTTGAAATGATCGGACCTGCTTGGTGGGGGGGAAATGATGGAGCCTGGGGAGTCAGTTCTGGGTTTTTATTCCGGTTCCTGCTCCCCAGAATCCCCCCCCATGCTCCTGATCTCCATGCTGGACCTAAGGCAGGTTGCATGAAGCGGCAGCAGCATCGATTAGGCTGCCCCCCCACCCTTACCCCCCCTTACCTCGCTTTGGTGGAGCGGTCGGATCTCCATCCTGCTGCAGCTCCCAGGTCTCCAAATCCTGCTGTGGGATAATTCCTCTCCATGAAGGGAGCAGCTGGGTGAGGATGAGGAAGGACAGAGAGAGAGAGGGGGGGGGTAAGGTTGGGGGGGTGAGGGTTAGGGTTGGGGGGGGAGGATGAGGACCGTCCCCCTCTCCTCAGAGCTCGATCTGCTTATTTCTCTGTTTGACGAGCCTGTGGACTGGGAGGACTGGGAGGAGGAGGAGGAGAGGAGGAGCCCCCTCCTCCCCTCCATGTTCTCCACTGTCTATTGTCTGCTGCGTGGAGCTGCAGAGATGCTGATGCTGTTCTCCAGAGTGTCATTCAGGCTCTACTGCTGCAAACTGAAGCTATTTCCCCCCCTCAGACGCCATTTTTTGGGATGACCTCCAGCCTCTAACATGAGGCTGGAGGTCTGGATGAAATGAACTCAGATCTTTTGTTTGAATACATTTATTTTATAAAACATCTCACTGCTATTCTGGAAAAATAATCTTCACAACAAAGAACCCCACCCCCCCTCAGAGATCCTCTCATGAAGTCTGGTCACTCATGGTTCAGGGCTGGACTCTGGCCCTCCTGTATGTGAAACTAGCAACAGGAAGCTGAAGTTCACTAAGATCACCATCAGGTGCAGAGACATCACTCCTGCCAGCCCGCCTCTCATTAGTTGTCTGCTGGTTCAGCAATCTCAGATGGCGCCCCCCTGTGGACAGAGAAAGGAAGAGTTACTGTATGCACATAAATCTGGGAAGCTGCATGTAACTGCAGCAGAGAGCAGCACATTAAATGTTCTGCCATAACCTCATCACTATCGCTGCAGAGCCTCAGAGTACCAGAGCCGAGGGCCCAGAGCCACTTTTAGCTCTCCTCATTTGGAATGGCAGAAGATCAGACCAGTTTTGAAAGTTTTGGAAAGTTCAAAACCTTGAGCTTTGGTCTCCTCTCAGCATAGCTAACAAACTAAACTTCCACTAAGTCCAAAGTTGTGGAGTCCATAACTCATAATTATCTTGTTAACATACTCTGCAGCTCCTCCAGAGATATCAGAAGCTCTTAGCCACTGCTCTGCTAACTCCTTGCATGGACTGTCAGAGTTTTGGTAAATTTCACAACTTTACTCTGCAATAAAGAATGAAATGATTGACTTTAAAACAGGTAGCTGCTACAGGCCGATAATTGCACTTAAAGTAAAGAGACTAACAGCCAGGCAGTCTTTCCCTGCTAAGTTCCATCAAAATGCCATGGGTCCACTGTCCACCGTGGGCAGAACTCCTATGGAGAGATATTTGCGCCTTCTGTTTGAGCGCGCAGGAACCAATCCAAGCATGCAGTTAGAGCGCGCTCAAAACCGGTCCACCACGCACTCAATTGTGAAAAGCTCTTCTCAACCCACTGTCCTCGTGCTTGGCTCTGTCTCTTGGCTCCGTCTCTGCGTGCTTTCGACCTGCTCTTTCTGCACTTCATAGCTGTGCACTTGGCTGTTTCTCCACTTGCTCGACTCTGTCTCTGCGCTCGCAACTTCATAAATGTCTGTAAATGAACCACACCATCAGCCAATAACCGCAGCTTCCTCCAATCAAAGTCTTTGTTCCATATACTACATCCGGTTTGATGGCTAGCTGAAGAGGTAAGCCACCCATCCTGCAAACAGGAAGCCTGGTCGAATGAGCTGCCAGTGTGGGTCCTTAGGCAAGACCGTTCACGTCCCAGACCCTAATTGCTCAGTTCACTCACCTGCCTAACTCTGCCTGCGTTTGATAAAAGCATCTGCTAAATACATAAACAATTCCCCACTCCCAACCAGCTGATGGGAAGTAGGTAGTTCTATAATAGATCTTGAATGATCTCAAATAAATGTCAGTTAAGCAGGTATTAGGTCATTAACTGCTTTTACTTTGCTTCTATAAACAGATAAACAAGGAGGAAATTTCAGATATTTCAAGTTTGGTTAAACAAAATTTAGATAACAAATATTCTGGATATGTTCAAATTTTTACGGATGCTTCAAAATATTCAAATAATAGGAATGTTGTTT